TGAGGTTGGGAATAAGGGAAGAGAAACATGTCTTGGAGGAATGTGAGCTTAGTTTGGATGTTAGGAGTTGGAGGGACCTTTGGGAATTTGGACAGAGATGTATCGAGTAGGAGTAGATGCTACATGATGGAGCTCAGAGGAGGTCCGGAATGCAGACCTCTATAAAAATGACTGGTATGGTTAGTGAAAAGACTGCCTACTTTGCCTCCTTGGCACACAGGTTGGCATATTTTTACTAGGCAACCCGTTACAACTTTCTCTACTAGCATATAAGCTCGGCAAAGATAGGGGCCACTAGGATAGGCAACTGCTGCATAGTGCCTGGCACATGGTACATTTTCAGTAAATGAATGATTAAGTACAAATGAACTTTGTAATTCCAAAAAAAGAGAAATGAACTAGAATGTAAAACTTATTGGTATAAAAACACCTCTAACCCTTTCTGCATGACTTTATGTCTGAGCTGTTGAACATTTAATGACAATGAATAATTAGCCTAGAGAAATACAGTATTTATTAGGTTGTAGGTGTATTTTTGATGTGAACTTAATTTCAATGTTCAGCCCTGGCCTGTGTAGTTCAGTTGGTTCGCGGTTTCGATTTCTGGTCAGGGCACATACCCAGGTTGTGGGTTTGATCCTTGTTTGGGGCATGTATCGGAGGTAACTGTTTCATGGTTTTCTCCTTTTCCCTTCCTCTCTCTAAAAATCAATTAAAATAAATATCCTTGGGTGAGGATTGAAAAAAAACACCAACATTTATTTGAGTAGTTTAAATATGATTTTTTAAGATCCAGGAGTCAGTTGTAAAATTTGATTTCTTGATGAATAAAAACCGTAATCACAGTACATTATCTCTGATGAAAATTTCAAAATGTTGAAATAAACCATTAGATAGGGCATAAACAGTTTCAAATGCTTCAGTTATCCCAAGAAGGTTTGAAGAACTTATTTATTTTAAACCTAAATTAGATAAACATTTTCTGTTTAATTTTGCCTGTGTTTTATATTTTTTGATCAGGTACCTGAAAACTTTTTGTGATACAGTATTTCACTGAAAGAGTAGTTTAAGGCTCATGATGTAAATACTATAACTTCAGACTCTGACACATCTATCTTGACGCACGTAGGAATGAAAATGGGTCTTTCGTTATCTTGGGAGCTGCCTCTGAGGTATGCTGAATAGATGACGGAGCAAGCAGGGGAAGAAGTTTCTATGCACTGTTTCCCAGAATCATCCAGTCCCCATTCCCGGGCCGCTGCTGTACTTTATTTGGTCTGTTCTTTCTTTCCTCTGTTCTGCCTCACTTTCTAAAGGCAGAAAGACCAAAAGCAGAAAATAGAATGAAAGCTCCATGAGAACAGAGATTTTTGCCTGTTTTGTTTATTCCAAGCACAAAGAATAGTTCTTGGCCCATAGAAGGTTCTCACTAAATATTTGGTGAATGAATAAATAAATGATTGAATGGAGGAAGTTGATGCAGGCACTTAAAATTATTTTTAGCTTGAAACTATTATTGTTCAAAGATTATTCAAACTGCACTTCTTTTTCCACTCTCCTGTATCTTCCTTAGGTAAGTTCTTGAGGCCTGTGTTTCACTTTACTTATCATTAATAGTGATTATATAAAGAGATATTTCTGATTTTCTAAAAAAAACCCCAAAACCTTCTTTGGTTAAAAACAAATTTTAAGAAGAGGAAGTAGCCTATTAAAAGTGAAAGTATTTTGGTTTTCGTAGCCACAATATGGTTATATGACAAGAGTCCTTCTTATAGGGATCAATTATAAGTCAACTTTAATAATTTACTTCAGAAATAATACACAATAAGTGTTAGTTTAATACTTAAAATTTCTTAAAGCAATTGGTAAAATCACAGCAAAAATTTAATCCTAATGAAAGATTCTTTTAATATACAATCTTTAAAAACAAATCTACCGTGAATTTTATTTTACATAATTAAGAATATCTCAGCCCAGGTGTGAAGGTCAGTGACCTCAGGAAAAACTGCTCATGTGTTCATTGAATATTAATTAAGCGTTTAGTCATCTGAGGTGCCGACCCTGTGCCTGAGATACAGTGGTGAATAAGATAGACAAGCCTGCTATGGAACTTACAGCAGTGTATTTAAATTTAGATTTCTGTGACTATCAAGTCTCTTGTAATCATTTTAGGACCCAGGGCAAGTTCCTTGGTTCCATTTTTAAAAAAATATATTTTTATTGATTTTAGAAAAGAAGGGAGAGGGAGAGAGAGAGAAACATGAATGATGAGAGAGAATCATTGATCCGCTGCCTCCTACACATCCCCTACTGGGGATGGAGCCTGCAACCCAGGCATGTGCCCTTGACCGGAATCCAAACTGGGACCCTTCAGTCCGCAGACCGACCCTCTATCCACTGACCCAAACCAGCTAGGGCTCCTTTTTTTTTTTTTTTAATAAAAATTCTTTTTTCTCTCTATTACAATTGGCATGCAATATTATATTGGTTTCAGGTGTGTAGCATAGTGGTTAGACATTTGTATAACTTAAGTGGTTCCCCCAATAAGTCTAGTACCACCCGAAACCATACAGTACAGTATTATTGACTGTATTCCCTGTTCCCTATGCTGTACTTTACATCCCTGTGACTATTTTGTATCTGCCGATTTGAACTTCTTAGTCCCCTCACCTTTTCACGCAGCCCCCAGTACCCCCTCCCACTTGGCAAGCATCGGTTTGTTCTCTATATCTGTGAGTTTGTTTTATTTGTTTCATTTAGCATAATATTCTCTAGGACCATCCATGTTGTTGCAGTGGTAAAATTTCATTCTTTTTTATAGCATAGTAATATTTTATATATGTACCACATCTTTATCCAGTTATCTATCTATGGACACTTTCATGCTTTCCATATCTTGCCTATTATAAATATAGCTGCAATGAATATAGGGGTGCGTAAATCTTTTTGAATTAGTGCTTTGGATTTCTTTGGATAAACACCCAGAAGTGGGATTGCCAGGTCATATGGTAGTTCTGTTTTATTTTTGGAGAAACCTCCATACTGATTTCTTGGTGGTGTTTTTTTTGAGAAGCTATCCCTGAGGCACTCTGTGTCAGGTGCTTCTGGTGCTCAGTCTTGTGATTAGCTCTTAGGACTGTTCCGTATTTAATTCTTTATATACTAATTTGTCTCCCAGGTAGCTCCATGAGTGCCATTTCCTGTTCCCATCTTAGGTCCCTGGCACAGTGCCTGTCTGTAAGCATACAGGATCAGATGTATCAGAAATAATCAGAAGGAAAGGCAATGTTCCTAATTGTAGGGGGATGGCTACTTTTGTATGGATCCTTAGAATTACAGGACAACTGTGAAGGGGCAGGCATGCTCAAGTGGAAAACTATGAAAAAGATTTGGAATAGGAGGACCAGGTTTCATTCTGGAGGTTTTGGTGGGCCACCTTTAATTCCCATAGGGATCCACTGAGGCAGGTGGCAACAGAGGAAACAAAGGGGCAGAGAAATCAAGTAATTCATCAGTAATAAGTGGCAAAACACAAACGCCTATGTGTGTTTGACTTACAGTTCCACTTACTCATCTACAAAATGGAGATGTATCATTATATATTTGCCCTTTTTACTATGTATGATCATCAAAAGAGATAAATCTATGTCCAATAGCTGTAAGTAAAAGCATGAAAAACTTATTAGCTGTCTCTGCTAAAATTTGTTTTCACTTTATGTGATCTTTGCCTACATTTTTTGCATTCTTTGAACTGACCTGTTTGTTCAGTTAAGAAGTAAGAAGAAAGAAGTAAGAAGTTAATTATTAACTCTTTTGGTTTCACCAAATAAAAGTATCTTGGTGTGCACATTTATAATTTTGATAATATTGCTGGATTGTCTTCTGAAAAGGCTGCACCAATTTTTACTTTTATCAGCATTTGTAGTGTGTGAGCATCTGTTTTCCCACATTCATGACAAGTTTGGGCATTATCAGTCTTTTAAAACTTAGAGAAAAATAATCCAGTTTTACTTATCTGTTTATTATTTGTGAAGTTGAGCATCTTTTTATGTCTGTTGGATATTTACATTTCTTTTATACTAGTAATTTGCCTATTAGTAGCTTTTATTTATTTTTTATTGGGTTATCTTTTGATTTGTAGGAACCCTTTTATATATAGCAGTAGAGGCCCGGTGCATGAAATTCATGCACAGGTAGGGTCACTAGTGCTGGCCCCGCCCCTGGTCCACTGGTGGGGGGGGGCAATCTGGGGCCAGGCCAGCTGGGGGAGGGGCTGTGGGAGGTTGAGGCACCCTGGTCACACCCCATTCAGCCTCTGTGGAGGCTCCAGGACCAAGGCGCTGTGGCCCCTTCTGCTGCCATCTCTGCGGAAGAAGGGGCTGCAGCGTGGGTGGTGGGACCGGACTGGACTCACGCTGCAACCTCTTCCGCACCCCCCACAGCGCCTATGCGAAAGGGGCTGCGCCCCCTGTCCAGCCCGCGCTGTTGGCCCTCAGCCCTCACAGCTGTGGCTTTGTCCGGAAGACATCCAGCTTAATTAGCATATTACCCTTTTGTTAGTATACATAGATGTTTGTAGATATTTTCAAATTAGTTGCTCGTATTTTAACTTTGTTTATGGCTTTTTAAAAAAAATATATTTTATTTATTTTTTACAGAGAGGAAGGGCGAGAGAGAGGGATAGAGAGTTAGAAACATCGATGAGATAGAAACATCGATTCAGCTGCCTCCTGCACACCCCCTACTGGGGATGTGCCCGCAACCCAGGTACATGCCCTTGACTGGAATTGAACCTGGGACCCTTCAGTCTGCAGGCCGATGCTCTATCCGCTGAGCCAAACCAGCTAGGGCTGTTTATGGCATCTTTTGTTTTATTTTTATGTAGTCAAATCTGTTTTTATGGATGGTCTCTAGCCTTAATGTTTTGCTTGGAAGGCCTTCTCTTTGCCAAGATTGCAAAAGTAAATTTAAAATTTTATGCCTTTTCCTGTTTATTCTGCTGTTTAGATTCATTATTTGGGAATATGATTAGCCACTGGACTTGTTCTTCAACAGTTTTTTAAATCTTTGAAGATCTGGAATACTAAACAGAGTGTTAATTGAAGACTAAGGTGAAGTCACATTCTATAAAGTATAAGGCCAGATTGGTGACCTTTGTCTTTTAGATGTTTATATACAAGATGGCTGCTCACATTAGAGGTAATACTAAAAAGGTATGAGTAAAATGGCTCTCATTCTGCTGAAATTTTTTTTCCAAAAGCTTAGATTTTTAGTTTGTGTTGCGTTGGATCAGGATGCTGTGATTTCTTTAACTCTTCTGCTGCCATCAGGGATAAGGCATGGGGAGTGTGGGGCCGTAGGGTAGACTAAAGGGAAAGGAAGGGACGGGGTGTGAATAGAATTACTTAGGAAGGAACGATTGTCACAATGTGGAGGCAGAGCAGTGTGGTACAGACCGAAATCAGAGCTCAGCAGTTACTCAACCTTACCAACAATTTCATTTCCTGAATTGTTTTTTTCTCTTTGCGGTTTTAAGCATTTGTGGTTCTAAAACATTGAAAAACACCGCTGTTTTAAACCTGATTATTAATCTTCAGTTTTGGTATTTCCATGGTGCATGTGCACTCTGTGTCTGTGTGTCTGTGTTTTGCACAATCACCACTGTTTGAAATGAAGAATCACTTGGTAATTTCAAAAGTGAAACTCGAATGTGAAATTCTCATTTCCTCCAGAAGCAGTAACGTAAGTAGTTGTCAGCCTCAAATTCAGTTCTGTGCAAGCTATACAGAAGACTGTGGCTTTCTTTATTACCTATCTCCTCCTCCTCCTCCTCCTCTTCCTCCTCTTTTAAATAATTCTTTATTGTTGAAAGTATTACATACTAGAGGCCCGGTGCACGAAATTCGTGGGCAGGCCCTGCTGGGTGCGGCCTGTGGGGAACTTTTCTTCTCTGGGATTGCCATGGCGATCCCAGGAGCAGGCCCACCTGGGGGCCGTCCGCCCTCCGCACTTGCCTGCTCTGGGATAACCATGGGGTCCCAGCTGGCAGCAGGGCTTAGGCACCACATAGGGGTCCCGGCAGGGGGCGGGGCTTAGGCGCATGGGGCTTAGGTGGCACACGGGGGTCCTGGCTGGGGGCAGGGCTTAGGTGGCGGGGGCTTAGTTAGCACACGGAGGTCCTGGCTGGGGTGGGCTCAGGTGACGTGATTGCGCCGCCTAAGCTCGGCCACCCATGGCCGCACACGGGGCCTGGATGGCGTCTGGCGTTGGCCAGCCCTGCCTGCAGTATGCAAATTGGCCACCATCTTTGATGGTGGTTAATTTGCATATGGCGCTGATTAGCCATGGGAAGCGTAGCGAAGTTACAGTCAATTACCCTTTTTGTCTTTTATTAGATAGGATACACTTCAGAAAGAAGACACACCCCAATTAAATCATTTAGAATTTGTATTTTTTAAAAATATATTTTATTGATTTTTTACAGAGAGAAAAGGAGAGAGATAGAGAGTTAGAAACATCAATGAGAGAGACACAACGATCAGCTGCCTCCTGGGGATGTGCCCACAACCAAGGTACATACCCTTGACCGGAATCAAACGTGGGACCCCCTGACTGCCCCCGCCTCAGGCCTTCAGCACCCTATTGTTTGTGTCCATGGGTCATGCATATATGCATACAAGGTCTTTGGTTGATTACCTCCCACCCACCCATCCTCCCCTGACTTCTCTCTGAGATTCCACGCTCTGCTCCATGTCTCTGGATCTACTCTGTTCATCAGTTTATTTTGTTACTTAGATTCCACATATGAGTGTGATCATGTGATACTTGTCTCTCTCTGACTGACTTATTTCACTTAGCATGATATCCCTAGGTCCCTCCATGGTGTCTCAAAGGGTAAGAGAGTCTTTTTTTTTTTTTTTTTGCTGCATAGTATTCCATGGTATAAACGTACCACAGCTTTTTTATCCACTCATCTGCTGATGGGCACTTGGGCTGTTTCCAGATCTTAGCTATGGTGAATTGTGCTGCTATGAACATAGGGGTGCGTACATTCTTTCTGATTGGTGTTTAGGGTTTCTTAGGATATATTCCTAGAAGTGGGATCACTGGGTCAAGTCATCCTTCTCTTCTTTAGCACCTGACACAAATGTCCCAGTTTCATAGCTGAGGTATCCATTCCATAAACAGTATTTTTATTTTATTTTGTTACTCCTCACCTGAGGGTATTTTCCCATCTATTCTTAGAGAGAGTGGAAGGAAGGAGGGGGGACACAGAGAGAGAAACATCGATGTGATAGCGACACATCGTTTGGTTGCCTCCCCTCCTGCATGAGCCCTGACCCATCCAGGACTGGGGATTAAGCCTGCAACCCTGAGGTATGTGTCCTTGACTGGAATCAAACCCAGGACTCTTCAGTCCACAGACCGACGCTCTATCCACTGAGTAAAACCAGCTAGGGCCATAAACAGTATTTTTTAGACTTGGATTTTATTAGGATAGATTTGTGACTTTCCTATATTGGGAAATTTACATAAGAGGGTTTAAAACCAGGGAAGTCTTCAGTCTTTTTGGCAGAATTTAACATGTCCATGTACCTCTTTTATCTGCTTTGTTTATTGCTTAGCCTCAAAACCGACGCCGTGTGTGTGTGTGTGTGTGTGTGTGTGTGTGTACGTGTGTACACATGTATACATACATAAAACACTTGTTTTGGGTTTTGGACATTTTAATGACAATTATTCCCATAGCCTATATAATAAAGAGGTAATATGCAAATTGACCATTACTCCAACACACAAGATGGCCACCCCATGTGGGCACAAGATGGCCGGCAGAGGAGGGCAGTTGTGGGCGATCAGGCCAGCAGGGGAGGGCAGTTAGGGGCGGCCAGACTGGCAAGGGAGGGCAGTTAAGGGTGACTGGACCAGCAGGGGTTGGGGGCGAGAGTGACCAGGCCAGCAGGGGAGGGCAGTTAGGGGTGACCAGGCTGGCAGGGGGGGGTGGTTAGGGGCAGTCAGACCAGCAGGGGAAGGTGGTTAGGGGTGATCAGGCAGGCAGGCAGGTGAGTTGTTAGGAGCCAGTGGTCCCGGATTGTGAAAAGGATGTCTGAAGGGTCCCAGATTGGAGAGGGTGCAGGCCAGACTAAGGGACCCCCCGCTCATGCACAGATTTTGTGCACCAGGCCTCTAGTCCTATATAATAAAGATATGATATGCAAATATGTCACGCCCTCGCATCATCACAAGATGGCTGCCCCATGTCATCACAAGATGTCCGCCCCTACATCATCACAAAGATGGCTGCCACAAGATGGTCGCCCCCACGCCATCACAAGGTAGCCGCCACAAGATGGTTACCCCCATGTCGTCACAAGGTGGCCGCCCCCATGTTGTCACCCCGCATGAATTTCGTGCACCGGGCCTCTAGTGTAGGAAATAACTAACTTATATTCCACGAAATAATTTTACAGGCATTTTCCTCACTACAATAAAGAGAGATAGGTTGAAACAGGTAAAAAGGATTTGAAAATTAAAAATTATAATCACCAAGAATAAGAAGAGGGAAGAAGATACAATTGGTTCTTGAACCTAGTTCGTTGGAATTCAGATCCTAGGTTCTCATCATTTTGTGTTCCCGATACCCTTGACTATGAGTAGAGGTCTGTAAATGGAGATGTTACAGGGTATGAAGGGATAATAGTTCATAAGGAGGGAAAGGGAAGCTTTTTACTGAGCCAAAATTATGATAGATGCTATAATTAATTCTCATAAAATAGGTATTATTAATTCTATTTTTACTGATGAGAAACAGACTTATAAATTAAAGTAACTTGCCTAGGGTCACACACAGATAGAAGGCAGTAAATTAAAGATTTAAACCAAGGCTTTTTGATTCAAAGCTGAAATCTAAAAGGGTAGGGAAGAATATGTATGGATAAGAAAATGAAGTGATTTTAATTATAAATTACATTGTAAATGTTTGTATGATTAAATTATACAGTGTAACACTGGGAGGGGGGTAGAGTAATTAAAGAGAATATTGTAATCATCAAAATTTTTTTCTTCAGAACTTGGAAAACTCATATAAAGGAAAAGAATGTCAAAGTTCTTAGTTGTTAAAGTCTTAAATGATCAGGGTTGTTATGGTTATTCTTCTTTCAAACTGGATTGTAAATCCTGTGGGCAAGGATTATATTTTTTAACTCTTCATCTTCTTTGCTACTGTGCCTGGTATGGTGAGCTGAGTATGTGCATGATTGAACAATAAATACCTATTACTTGCTACTTTAGTAATTGTGCTATTGTTAACAAAATTTCACTTGCTTATTTTTGACCCTATTAGAATTAATACTGTTTTTCATTAGGCAAATCATTTTTAACTCAGATAATTTTATCAGTTCACTTTTGCATATAAAAAGAATGCTGCTACACATGGAACTATGTCACCATAATGAAATTACTCACCTGGCTGGTGTGGCTCAGTGGTTGAGCATTGACCTATGAAACATTTGATTCCCAGTCAGGGCACATGCCTGGGTTGTGGGCTCAATCCCCAGTGGGGGCGTGTAGGAGGTAGTTGATCAGTGATTCTTTCTCATCTTTGGTGTTTCTATCTCTCCCTTTCCCTGACTCTTTGAAATAAATAAAAATATATTTAACAAAAAAGAAATTACTCAAGGTAAACCAGTGTGTGTATAGAGGTGTCCCTTTTTACAATTGAAATTAGAATTTTATGCTGTTAATATTTACTTATGAATCTTTTTTGCTTTTAGGATATTCGGAAATTCTTTGGGGTTATACCAAGTGGAAAGAAATCTGCAAGTGAAACAATAAAGAAGAATGAGAAAACAAAGTCTGCTGAAGAAACTTCAAAAGCAAAGAAAGGAATAAAGGAAATCAAGGTAAGTTTTCCAAATACAATTTAGAATTGTATGAAAGGTTAAATCAATTCAATTTCTAGACTTGATAGGACTTGAGGGAGCCTTGAGTAAATATAGATCTCAACTCATTTAGCAGTGGAAGAAGAAAAGTAATGAGCTAGTATTTATTTCTAATTAATATGGCTTACTGAATTCATATGCTTTCCTCAGGTAGAGATGGAACACTTTTCAGTTGTAAAAACTTTGTTTTAAGACCAAAGTTTGCTCACAGAGAGACATGAGTCCCTATACCCAGGTGAATGGTATTGGACTTCTGGTGAGGAAAGGGCTTTGGAAAGCTTAATTTTTTTTTGTCTGTCCTTCTTGGGCAAGAGTTTTATCATTTAACTAGAGGCCCGGTGCACAAATTTGTCCATGGGTGGGGTCCTTCAGCCTGGCTGGCGATCGGGGCCATCTGGGGTGGGCCGGGTGGCTGGGGGGAGTCACCACAGGAGGTTGGCCTGTGGGGGAGGGGCTGTGGGAGGTTGGCTATGGGAGTGCACTGACAACCAGGGGCAGCTCATGCATTGAGCATCTGCCCCCTGGTGGTCAGTGCATGTCATAGTGACTGGTTGACAGGTCGTTCTGGTTGCTTAGCTTTTATATATATAGACCTGTGGCCCAGTGCATGAAATTCGTGCATGGGTGGGGTCCCTA